GCGACAGATCGCAAGGAGGGTTTTATTGTTAGAAAAGTCCAGCGCGGTCTCAGCTCAATGGAGACCTGGTGTGAGCGCTGGAATATTAAAATTAATGAAGATAAGACTCTGGGGGTCTACTTCTTCCATAGTTGTCGACCACATGAGTCTTGTCTCACTTTAAATGGACGAAATGTTCCATTTGTAAATAGTGTCAAATATCTAGGTGTAATCTTCGATAAGAGAGTTACATCGAGATTGCACATAGAAATGATCGAAGCCAAGGCCTTCAGAACATTCATTAGGGTATATTCCCTATTCAAAAGTGAGCGATTGAGCGCTAACATTAAAATGACCTTGCACAAGGCTCTCATTAGATCCGTAATGATTTATGCTAGTCCCGCCTGGGAGTTTGCGGCAGACACCCATCTAGTGAAATTGCAGTGCCTGCAAAACAAGGTTCTCTGCACCACTGGCAATTTTCCAAGGTGCACACCGGTCTGTGATTTGCACGTGGCATTTAAAATCCCATACGTTTATGACTTTATAACAAAATTATGCAGGCAACAAGCAGAAGTCATACAAAATCATGAAAATGAGAATCTTAAGTTTTCCAAGGGATCCAGCACAGTAGGTCTGTTTTAATTCAGGTCTAATTACTTTATTATGTGTTGCCTAATCCAGTGAATAAATTAAGTTTAGTGTAGTTAGGTTAGGTGAGGTCAGGTTGGGCCAGGGTTGGTTCGGTTCGCTTCAGTTCTGTTTGGTATGGTATGGATCGGATCGGATCTTCCAGAGCGTTTTCCAGAGTTTTGTATGTAAAGATACTGATTTGCAGACTACAGGTTTTCGGTATTACAGTTTTTATATGATCGATAGCACGTCGGTAGTGAAGGTAAGCATTTCAGATTTCACAGCAAAATGGTGGATCCCGTATTAGCGAGGTTAGTAATGGCAAGAGTTTCAGATTTCACATCAAAATGGTCCATCCAGTACTAGAGGCTATTTGTGTAATTTTGGCATTTTTCTTGGCAGAAGCCTTGAAGCTCCGGTTAGGCATGAATTCATAACAGACTGCATATGGTGCAGTATAAAGTATCTCATTTACCTTTATTTCCATAGATCCATACAAAGTAAAAGGATGTGAAAATTCTCATAATAAAAAAACAGTACAGACATACATATAGTCAAATAACACTACACAATATCATTACATTTATGGCCACAAAAACTTAATATTAAAAACTACATATGATTAATAACCTATTACAAAGAAATTATATCTTTATTTTTATCATATTAAAAATGCTGCTGCAGAATGCAGTTGAAGTGATTCTAATTGTACTTGAGTGTGTAAGAATAAATATGTGAAGTTATTTGTGTCATGATATACCCAACATGTGACAATATTCTTTAAATGTATAAAATGAATGGCAACACAAAAAAAGATTCTTCAAACCGATTTAAAACCATCGCAATTTTTGTATAATTGCTTTAGGTATGAAGGAAGATTATTAAACATCTTTATATCCATATAGCAAGTTCCCTTCTGATGTAGTGATAGAAGAGCTGAGGGTTGTGTAAGAATTATTCACAGGGGCTTCACGTTTCCTCGCGTTGTGTGCTACTCTTAGCTGCTCTTTTGCACTGTTGTTAATGATATGAAGTCGGGCACTGTTACGTGGTCTGGGAACTACGTTGAAGTATTTGTAATACGAAAGAATGTCCTAGGTCTTGAGCCTTGAGTCTGTCTTGAGGCTTAGTGGGCCTTGCTGAACGAGAAGGGATCACACACACAGTGAAGAAGTCTTCAGACCACCACAAAGCACTGGCAGTTGATACACTTGATTTATTTAGCACACAATACTTTTCTTTTACAACAGCAGTTCTACAGCAACTACTATAATTTAACATACATATACAAACTTGGATGGCCACAGCACAAGATAGCGATGGACAGTCTTCCAGCCTGATTGAGGAGTGTTAATTCTCCAATACTTGTGTGTCTCGTAGTCTCTACTCTTCTTCTCTCTTGTCATCCAGGGATCAACCCCTTTAAATACAAAAGGATGATGCAATGTCCTGGAATCTTCCCCTTCGAGAATGTTCCCGAGCTCTCGCTATTCTTGCTGCATGACGTAACACTCTAGAACCTTCCAGATCCTTCTCGAAACTTCTTTTAATTGTTTTTCTGATTGAGAGCATTCTGGAAGCTTCCTTTAATTAGGCTGATAGGGCGGCATAACCGGATCACACACCACACCGGCTATTATAGAAGCTTCTAGTAGCTCTTATCTGCATAGTTTAGTTTATTGTAAAATTCCATCGATCGAATCTAGGCTACAAATACACCTGATGGATATACAACCAGTCACAGACAAGTGACTAAATTACACATGCTATGAAAAAAGCATAGGTCAGATCAAACAATAAACCAAACTGTTTATCATCCTACTTTAACATTAAACATAACAACATCTTAAGTGTAATATTGTAAAAAAATCATCATACGAAAAGGTAGATGATAACATATTTATGCCAAAATAAATCACCTATGATACATAGAATCTTAAAAATTCACATTAAAATTAGTAATTACTATTTAAAAAAAAATCATTCAGTGAATAAAAATAATTCAATAGAAGGTAATTTTTAGGGTTGATATCATATAACTCTGAATTTGTTTTAAATAAGGAGATATTATCAATTACAAAAATTAGTAATGTAAATATATACTGACAATAAAACGGTAATATATTTAGTTTCTTAAACAACTCCCTACAGGAATCGCTATTTCTGGCATTTGTAGTAATTCTTATGCCCTTTTTTTTGTATTTTAAATATATTGATACTATAAGGTGAATTCCCCCAGAAGATTATACCACATGACAGAACTGCATGAAAATAAAAATAGTAAATCATCCTTAGTGATTCATGGGACACAAAGGGTCTTAAAGATCTAATAACATAACAGGCTTTGCTTAATATAACTATAAATCCATCATTATTATGCTTCCATGACGAGCTATCAACAGTAATACCTAAAAACTGAGTATTTGTATTGTTAATAATATATTTATTATTATAACTGATATCTAATTGAATTGTTTGGCTATTAGTGGTTCTAAATTGTATATACTGAGTTTTGTAATAATTTAATGACAAAAAATTGATATTAAACCATTCATTCAACTGTCTGAAAGAGGAAATCCTAAAAATTTACTAAATTAGGATTACTAACAATAATGTTGGTATAATCAGCAAACATGACTGGCTTAGAGTTTTAATTAACTACTTTAGGTAGGTCATTTATGTACAAAAGAAAAAGCATTGATCCAAGTATAGATCCCTGGGCACTCCATGTTTAACCTTCCCCCATTCTGAAGAAGTATAAGAATGTGTTAATTTATCATCAGTGAGGACTTGTTGATACCTATCACTGAGATATGATTTGAGTAGAGCAGCGTTTCTCAGACTTTTCTGAAGTGGGGACCACTTTTATAAGTCTGAACAGCTCTGCGGACCGCCTTACTCTTTTTCCCATCGAAAGCAAATTTATCATTTTTTAGCACATTTTAATACCAGTATACTTATATTTTAAAATAGAATTAATAAAAAATAATTTTATATTAGTATTAAGTAATTAAGTTAATAGAAGAAAATTCATATTCGTTTTTTAATAATTCAAGGCTATTAGAATTTGGATAATCTTTAGCTAATTAGCTAAAAAAATAAATAAATAAATGTTGGTACTCACATTAATGACATGGGTGAGCCTGCCAATTCTTGCACAGTTGTTCTATATTTGGATGTATGCTGGTAAGCTTAAGTCGGAAATCGTCACATACGTCACGGCGGTTATGTTGCCCGCCAATAGCATTGAGTTGCACCCCCTGTTAATAAATTGTAATGGTTTCTTTTGAATGTGTTTCGTTGAACTGAAGCTCCTCACAAATTTTACCTCTCTTGTGGCTCGAGTGTTATTTCTGCGAGATAATTAACACAGAAAAAACAGAAAAAAATAAGTGAACACATCAGGTAAGAATTTAGGTAATTAGTACATTAATTTGTTAGTAAAATTGTCTAATACCCTGAGGCATCTCTTACCCTCTTCTGTCCTAGAAATTCTGTGGTCTTGACAACTACGTGTTGGATGTGACAGCTGACACTTTGTAGACCATATTTTTAGCCGAGGATCCTATTTATTTGAATGAAATTACTTTAGTACTGTAAAAGGCTATATATCTTCATTAATTCGTCGTATTCATGATGCAGCCGAATAAGCCTGTGAAGGGACTTGTAAAAGCGTAAGTTTCAACTTTATTTTAACCCATAACCGAAGTGAATACAATTGGACATGTCAGGAAATAATAGCGAATACATAACATGTCAAAGTGATTTATCACTATACTCGTAATATAACGACCTTTAAAAGGAACATGACAGTAAAACATACATAAGACCAAACTTGGGCAGTAAAAGTAACTGCCGGTGAATATTGAACGATAAAATATTTTGGATTACAGTAGTTTGCTTTTACAGTTAGGCTTCTAGTATTGGAATTTTTCTGTTTCATTAAGCACTTGTGTTTGTTTTGTAACCGTTCACCCTAATTGGTGGACTATTTTGTATTAATTAAACCTGTATTAAGTTAATATCAAGTAAATACAAAGAGATCCGGCAGATAGCCAACTCTTACACGCAAAAGGGACATAGTTTAAGTTCTGCTATGTGGACAGGAAGTAACATCTGGTACTTACCTGGAATTCTGGCAGTTTCAGCAAAGTCGGAAAGTCTTTGAGAATTTGAGAGCTGACAGCTTGGAACAGCTATAACTTAGAAGTGGAATGGCCGGAGCCTCATCCCATGGTCATAATGCAACAAGTTGCTGTCAGCCTTAGCGTCAGGTCAGCAACTGCCAGAATCACATAGCAAAGCAACCTGATTGGAAATTCACAAATTTAGGGAAACTCCTAGTTTGAAAACTTAACCAATGGCAAAAGTGGAGGAGTGGACTTCTGTTGGAGTCTGTGGTTCGTGAACCTCAGGATTCAGAGAGAGTGCATTCCACCTCGGGGAGTCTTCATCCAACTTTCAGCAAAGTCAGACACAAATTACAACTACGTCCCTTCCGTAAAAGTATTATAAGTAAATTCCTAAATAAGTGTTACTAATAGAGTCATTTGTATTCAGTGAGCTGGAGAGAATTAAATAATTACTAAGTGCAAAGTCTGAAGAGGTGTGTGTGACTGTAGTGAAAGATTCTTCCTGCCCTGCCTGAGCCAGACCTGTATAAGACCCCTGGATAAAAACTCATCTCTACCAATTACAGAACAGAACCCAGATACTCCCATCTTTCCCTACTTGCGAGACACTTAATGATAGTACCGAAACCGAACTGTCGCCTACCAGCACCAGCAACCAAAATCTTCCTCCCTTCCCACCTAATTTCTTGCCATCCACAAGAAGGAGGAGGGCGGAAACTCCAGTGGAGGTGTCTAGAAAGAGGTGCAGGTGAAATGCAACACAAGGAAGGAGAGGACCCAGATAAGTGGAGACCAACATAAAGGGCCCAACAAAGTGAGCGGTTAGAGTTTCACAAGTGGTGAAGAGGAATATCACATACGTTCATGGATTTTGTTGCTGGGTGGCAACTGTCCCGAACCCTGGGTGAAGGTTCCTTTGGAAAGTAAGTACTGGATTCATTTCATTTCATTTTTATTTGGCATTCATAATTGCTACAACAGTAACACTCGGAACAAGTCACATCATTAAATACATCATTCTTGAAACCTTTTTGCCCAAATGCCTAAAGGCTTAGAATTTATCAACAATATGCATATAATCGCGCTATACATGGTTAACATGTAATTGAAATATAACACTATCAAACCAGATAAATAATCAAATTAGGTACAATATGTAAATTGAAATGCAAGCCAACCTTATTAGTTCATCAAGATAATTTTTAAGAGTATTACAATAAATGAAGAGTCCAACATATGACCATATCAATCACCGAACACATTCAGATACTGCAAGCAACCATTTGTTGCAGTTATTGCAGGCATGAGCAGTTGGTAAATGGGAATTTGTAAAAAAAGTAGTTGGCTTATGCAGTATGTGTGTGAGCAAACGGTTACCTAGTGAAACATTATGTTACCGTGCAGCATGTATGAAGACATGTTTTCAGGAAAATACATTGAAAGCCCCTATTTAGTGCAAAGTTACTTCACATGACATTTTTACTCGGCCGTCTTTCAGGTCTGCTGTTCGTGGGCATATCACTTGAATATTGTGAATATGGCCAGTTCTTCCCTGTGTAGTAATAGAAAACACATCCGATATAGTCATAAGCACACACTAGGGCATACTGGTGTCTCACTTAAGCCCATGTAACTAGGAAAGCATATGTTAAGACAGTGCATGGTGTATAACATTTAAATAAACTCACTGCACCAATCTTGGGAAATATAGCTGGGCTGGGCTGGATGGCTGTGGAGTTAGGGTTTAGTTCCTGGCCTGTGCAAGAGAGTTTTTTTTTTCTGGAAAGTCGAGACTGGCTCTGAGACCTACCCATCATCCTGTGCAGTGGGTATCTGGTGGTAAAGCAGCCAGGGCATGAAGCTGACCACTTACTTCCATCTAAAGCCAAGGTTAAGAGTAGTGGGGCTATACTTGCACTCCCCCATGTCTTCATGGTGTGGTCCTTAATTAGTTAAAGCCCAGGGATAGCTTTGCCTTTCAATAATCACGATAGAGAGTAGGATAACAGACTGTGCAATAAAGTGAGTGCTCAGTCTTCTTAACTTTTTTTATTAACGAGCCTGAAATTTAAAGAAAAACTGATTAGGATTTCAGTGTACAGTGCAGCAGATTGTCTTACACATTCTGTCCTTAAGATGGAGAGGAATTAAACCTTTAATTTCATTGATATTTTTGCACATAACAGAGTAAAGTTGCTGACACACAGGAGTTCAGGAGAGCAAGTCGCAATGAAAGAGATCGACTTGGAGAAACATTCAGGTGCACAAAGCAGCATACAGAAAGAAGTGTTCATTCATAGAATGGCGAACCATCGGAACATCATCCAGTTTTATGGAAACCACCGCGAAGGACATGTAGAGTACAGCTTCCTTGAGTTTCTGTCAGGAGGCGACCTCTTTGACCGCATAGCTGGTGAGTATTCTTCACAATCAGCAATTAAAAGAATCATTCATAATGGAGCTGGTCAAACTGGCATACATCAGTAACCTGGATGTAACATTTTTTCACATGATCTGTTACACACAAGAATGATTGAATGTTTGGAATCTGTAATTTCTTATGTTTAGGATG